AATACATGTTAATTGGTGTAACGGTTGTTGAATAAACGTAATTTAAATGATTGCCATTTTTTTTGCACACCACTGTATTTCGGTATATTTTCAATAAAAGCAGAAACTAAATCTAAATTTTTACGCCACTTTTTAATTATGTAATTATGTAATTATATAAGTATTTCGCCGCTTATCAAATCTTGTATATCAACTAGCTTTGCAGCCAGCCAACCTAATAACTTGAGTCATTGTTATATGAAAATGGCATCAAGGCATCCTTGTTACTTCCCACTTTAGCACTCATATCCTCATTGCACTAACAGTTATGCGTCAAGGGCCCAAGCATCACGCGGCACATGTTACGCAGTGGCGGAGATCTTCTCGTATGTGGGTCTACTTTGTTTTTTGTAATTTCGCCCAAATTAAATAAACTTTATTTAATATTTTCTATAAAAATAATGAAACTATTCCTCCCAGTTTTTTTTACGCATCCCATGGGCACTCGCGTGTGTGATGATAGATATGGCAAAAGATATGAGAAGAGTTAGATAACAGAGTATCGATTTTACCTATAATCATATGCCTCATATGCTGATCTGTAATTAAAATTTCTGATTTGAAATTTCGGAATTTTAAAACTCAGATTATCTCATACAAATTTCCTTTTTTGAAAAACAATCGAAAAGTTTCTGGGTTCTAAAAGTTTAGATGACATAATTAAGTAAGAAGACTATAATATTGATCAAATAAATTCCTCAGCTATTTTGCTTTCACTTTTTCTGTCCTAACTTTTCTTTTTTCATTTTTTCCGCTTTTCTAATTTCAAGTTTACTTTACTATTATTATTAAAGATTATTAAAGAATATTAAAGAATAAAAATATTAACCTTTAATTTTTTTATTTTATTTTCCACATCATATTAGGACAACGATATTTAGGTAGGTTTGGAAGAAAGAAACTTTAGAAGATTTAGAAGATTTGAAGATTTAGATGCGAGGTGGGTGTTTTTTATTTATTTTATTTCTTCTATTTGATTATTTGTTGTTTAATGCTAATGGCGGCGTATAGGCCTACACCTGTGCGTCGTCTCTCTATTTGTAGATTTCCTAACGCGAACTGGAAACCAAGAAACGATGATAATGTAAGCGTTTTACAATTTTATTGATAGAAAAGCGGAAAATAGAAAAAATAAAATTTGAATTAGCTATTTTATATTTTTTGTAAATATTTTCTTAATGAATAAAATGAAATAATAAAATTTGAAAGTATTGAAATCATTATTTTTATTTGAAAGTATTCATTACATTATTATTTTTGATTGATTTGAGTTCACGCATACATCTGAAAAAGGAAAAAAAAAATACATGTATAGTTTTACTTCATATAATGGTTAATGATCTAACTTACATAGCGGGCATAAAGATTCATCAGTAATTCCATAATAATCATCCACAAATTGTTCTTCGAAGTCTTTTGCTTTTAAATTCTTCGATACTTCTGGTGAAAATTCTAGATGTGTTGAATTCTAGATGTGTTGTTTTAGAGATCAAGTAAATTTATATAGCATTTATATTTTTTGTCACACTATAAACTCTACCATATAACAAGTTTTTTAAAAAACAAATAATAATGGGAAGAGTTAATAATTCTACATCGATATTTGAACAGTAAGTTTTATTCGATTATAATTCTTTATTCCTTGAATCATTTGTTCTGCCTAATTCAATTTATTATTATTATTATTATTATCAGACGCAGACGAATTCGTCAAGAGAGGACTTATTCCATTTGGCCACGAATGTCCTCAAGTACGCAATGTTATTTTATGTGGTTATATATGTATATATATATATGTTTTCTTTTATTATATTAAAAAAAAACTTTACCCATTATATAGGTTACTATATGATAAATCAGAATTACCAAAGAAGATAGCAAGAAAATATAATGTAACAGAATTACATGTTCTTTTAAATAATTTTTTTAAAGAAAAAAAAATAGATAATAAAAAACGTAATTCAAAAAAGAGGAAACATCAAGAATCAACAAAAAAGTATAAATCTAAAAAACATAAGAAATAAAACATCAACAATCTAAAGATGACGAAATTACTTCGAGCAATGGTGGTGAAATGATTACGCCAGTTCCAATGAATCGTATGAAAAGAAAAATCAAGATCATGACAATGTAAATGGAAAAGATATTATAAATGTTGATAAGAAAGAATTAGAGAACAAAAAAGGTATGATTCTAAATTTTGAAATAAAATTCTTTTTTTTTTCCTTTTTTTTAAAAGACTAAAAAATATATATTTTTTAATTATTAATATTATATAGTTGAGTTCCTTCTTCCACTTCTCAGTTTATTCAAAAGGTATCTTTTCATTCATAATGAGATGCCACAAACCCTAGACCGTTTTGGACTTGTGACAAGACCGAATATTTTAAGCAAGAGTCGCGAACTGACAAGGAGGATAGTTATTTAGACCCGATTTTATTAATACTTGAATGGAATGAGGCAGACCTGCAGCAACGCGGAGTGCTAAAGATGACTATAATCAATCGTATGTTCAGAAGATAATTAATATGTTAGAAATCCTAGGATTCATCGGGGTAGTCCCACTTCAAGCTTTCGGCCAACCCGGGGATGTTGGCACTATTTTTTGTACTGTCGATATTCCTCCGTTTGGAAAGCATCAAGTTGCAGCTGATATTGTCGTCTTTTTACATACGAATTATTGGCAGGGGCCGAACAACGAATTGGGAAACCTTATACCGTTAGAGCCGCGAGAAAAGACGTTTTCGAAGTTACACATTTTCGCGATGCGATTTGGATGTGGATTTAGCGGGACGTTTATTATATAAATGCGAAGAAAACACTTATTAAAATCTGTAATTTTTAACCGCAAAATTTGATTACAGTAAAAAATTGCTTTTATATACCGATCTGGTTACAAATCGAAATAACTACACATGGATCTTCGTAATATCAAGCATACCTTAGAGCAATCCGCACAATTTTTTCTTGAGTTGATCTCGCTTTTGTTGTTTTATAAAATTTTTTGGATCCCTATGAAAGAATCCGATATATTTTCATGCTGAGGTCATTGATATATATTATTATGTAAGCAAAAACGAACTACAGTGAACCCTCTATAAATGCACCCTCTATAAGGTACACCCTTTATAAATGCACCCTATGCCCCAGTTCCATCTACTAAATAAATGAATTCCCTTTTATAAATACACCATAATGCTAATTTCCTGGGGGTAGGGCCACCGTATTATTTATTATATTCAATACCGATTTGTAGATCACGTGTAATAAAAGAAAACCTTCAATATTTTTCAATTTTCAATATTTTCAATGGCATTTAATACAAAATTTACAGAATTATTTAAATGTATTGGAATAAAATATCCTATCGTATCCGCTCCGATGGCTTTTGTAACTGGCGTTGAATTGGCTACGCAAGTTACTTTAGGGGGTGGATTTGGATTTATTCCAGCAGGTAAAAAGAGTTAATATTGTTTTAACTACACAGTATTTGTACTCTAAATAAAAAAAACGAGTCCATATTATTCAATAGGCATTAAAACTGCTGAAGAATTAAGTCATGATCTCAAAAGTGCAATGAATTTGTTTAATAGTTCACCAGAACTTCTTCCAATTGGAGTTGGATTTATGACCTTCATTCTTGATAAAGATGGAGTTTCCACACTTAAAGCTGCTCTTTCACATAAACCGGCAGCTGTGTGGTTTTCATTTGGTGACTTTCAAAAATATCTACCAATCGTTCGCGAAATGTCACCAAAAACGAAAATATTTTCACAAATTCAAACTGTTGAAATGGCGATTGTCTCAGCTAAATTCGGAGTAGATGTAATAGTGGCTCAAGGAAACGAATCAGGCGGTCATGGATTAATTAATAATGCCAGTACATTAACTTTAGTTCCAGAAACAGTTGATGCTCTAAATGACAGTGGGAATGGTCATATTCCAGTATTAGCTGCTGGTGGAATCATGGATGGACGTGGTTTGGCTTCTGCGCTCATGCTTGGAGCTTCAGGAGTAGTAATGGGTACACGATTTGTAGCATCAAAAGAAAGTCTTTCTAAACCACAGGCAAAAGAGATGCTTGTAAAGTCGTTTGATGGTGGTGTAAGTACCATTAGAACTAATGTTTTTGATAAATTGCGACAACCAAATGTTTGGCCTGAACATTTTGATGGTAGAGCTTTGAGAAATAAGACTTTGGAAGATAATATTGATTTTAATGATGAAAAGAAAACAGTAGAGAAAAGAAAGATCTACGGAGAGGCAATGAAAAATGCTGATTATTCTCGTGCAGTAAGACATCATTTATTTATTTCAAAAATCTTATAATGAAATAAGTGTGTTTAAGGACAATTGTCTTTAAATCATAGGTAATTTATGCTGGAGCAGGTGTCGGTCTTATCAAAGAAATATTGTCCGCCAAGGTAAATCAATCAATTAATTTAATAAATTTTATTAATAGTAAGCATTTATATATTTGATTTCTTTTTTTTTTTTTTTTTTACAGGAAATTATTGAATCAACAATAGAGGGTGCAAAAGTTACAATAGAAAAATTTGCAAAAAAATAAACAAAACTTCTATTCAGGATCAAAGAGACTTTCAATATCTTTTTCCCAAGAAAATCCTGCAGCATTTCTATGTCCACCACCACCAAATGCTTTCGCAATTTGAGATACATCTGCCTTTTCATCAAGACTTCGTAAACTTATTCTAAATCTTTTTTTATTTCCTTCATAAGAGAAAATCATACCCAAATCTGCATCATCTTTATTCACAAGAATATTTCCCAACTCTGACTGCCACACAATAGAATTAAGAGCATACACCGTGTAAGTTTTAGATTGTACAGTCATTTTACGTTTAAAAGAATCGTTTTTTTGCAAATGTGCCATACGATGATTAGTGTATTCAATTATATGAGAACCAGATTCTATTGCTTTCTTGACTAATTTCTATTTATAGGTATTAATTAGATATATATTAGTGTTTATTTGTTTCGAATAAATAATTTTAATAAAAAAAAAAAAGAAGATAATTGTATATAATTACCTCATCTTTCGCGTATTTATCATAAATTTCAAATTCCATGGGAATAATTGACCATGAAATTGAAAATTCCTTAGAATTCGGTAGATCAAATCGAAACAAATCCTATTCGAATAAGAATAATATATATATAAATCTTATGAAGTGAAAAAACTTTTTTAATCAATTGAAACTCTTTGCTCACTTTATCCTCAATATATCGAATAAACAATGGAACTTCTTTATTAGGCCAAAAGAACTCCCACGCTAATCTAGCACCACTTTTATCCATATCAAAAAAATAATTCTTTTTATTTTCGTTAGGGCTCGAATCATCCCCGAGCAAATTATCTCTAGCGGTTTTATGATGATCCACTACTATTACAGACTTAGCTTGTTTTTCGATTTCAGTAAGAACATTTCTTGCATAAGAAAAATCAAACAATGCAACATTTTTGTCTTTAATATCAGTCGGGGGTGGTGAATAATGTACCGCAGGATAATAAGTTGCTTTATTTCCAAGACGTGTCCATGCCGCGTAAGCTGAACCAAACCCATCGGCTAATATTTTGATAAATTAATTTAATAGGAATTCATCTAAATAAAATTTAACAGTAATAAATTTTCTTACGGCAGTCTTTATGATAAATTACATAATTTATACTTTCGGAATTAATATGTGGAAGTATTTTAGTAGAATTTGCCTTTTTAAAAGAGAAATATATTAATTTATTGAGTTTTTATTATTCAAGACAAGAAAAGTATTCGAAGAAAAATTATTACCATTGTGTGAAATTTTGCGTTATTGGTTTGCAAACAACGACGTAGAAACATCGAGTACCTTTTTTTTTTGTTCACAGATATATAAATCACGTGAAATCTCGACTCTATTTACATTCTTTCCCTATTTTGGCTGCCACTCCTAATCAGGGTGTGAAGGTTTAAATTGAAAGTATTATTGATATTTATCTAGAATTTAAAAGGAAAATCAGATCGCCAAGTTTTTCTAATTTCATAAAAGGCAATAATAAATTTCTTTAAATTTGAACCAACTAACGAGATAGATCAACCATATATGGAAAATAGGGGCGATTAAGAAATGCGTGTAATGCGTGTGCACACGGGACTCCTGAAATTTTAAATAATAAATTTAATTAATATTTTTAACCAGAAATTTTTATTATCAAAAATTTAAATTGTCGATAATACAATAAATAATTAAATCTATTATTTTATTAATTATTTTACTGATCATTGTTTTAAACAATAGTATTTTGTATTATTTGATCATTGATTACAAAGGATATTGGTTCGTTATTGTTTCATCATCAATATCTTTTGTAAAGTCCAACTTTCGATTTAATTCAATTCAATTTATAATTATCATATAAAAATGTTTTAATTACCCTGTAATCAACTAATTGGTGTCCCTTTTTTTGAAGTGGGAGTGCAAGAAATTTGAAAAACATACAAAGTTTCATCAGAAACATTGAGATATCAAGCATCAAGACACCGGGTGATAACAGGTTGTATGCTGTGGTCATTGAGAAAATATTTGAAAATCAGAGGAAGATAAATGATCTACTACGCAAGAGTTAGCTCAGAAAAGCAAAAAGAGGATCTTGATAAGCAATGTGAATATCTCAAACAGAAATATCCAGATCACAAACTCAGAAACATCAGGTCAGGTCTCAACTCTCAGGTCAAACACGGTGTGCTGAAAAGGAATTCCGATTTTAGCTAATTTATAATATAGGATGCAATAGGGCAGTTGATTTTAGCTGGTCTATAATTTTTGCTGATCACCATTCTGAAAAGATCATACCAAGGAGATATCGATAAGGTTGTGGTTATTAGAAAAGACAGATTCTGCAGGTTCACTTATGAACTCGTCAAATGGATCCTTAGTAAGAATGGAACAAAGATCATGGTACTCAGTTCAAATGTCAACATTGATGACATCAAATCTGGTGAGCTTGTCAAGGATTTACTATCGATCATTACTGTTTTCACGACAAGACATAATGAACTTAGATTAGCTGAGTATACATGTCATTAAAACTATTGAATTGAGTCGGATGCAATTAAAAATTGAAAAAATTGAAATTGAGTCAAAGGCTTTTTACTTTTGACAACATGTATACAGCCAAGAATTATAAAAGATGAAGAGAAATTGAAGACTCGAAAGATAAGAATGTATTCAACACCAGAAGAAAAAGAAAAGTTAAAAAGATGAATGGGAACCATGAGGTGAACGTACAGCAAAGTCCTTCAAATGTTACAAGATGATAATATAAATGATATAAATATCATAAGAAGACATTATCTGAATAATGAGTATTTCACAAACAAGAAATTATCTTGGATGAAAAAGACACAAAGATAACTCAGGTCAAACACAAATGAATAGATAACACAAATAGGAATTCCGATTTTAGCTGATTTATAATATAAGATAAAATAGAACAGTTGATTTTAGCTGGTCTATGATATAGGAATTCCCGATTTTAGCTGATCTATAATATAGGAATTACCATTTGATATAGCAATTCTTTTGTATTTGACTAGTAGAAATGAGATCTTTTTTAATCAGGCAACTGATTAGTTCTTACAAGACAAATATAAAAACACGCGGTAGTAATTTCAGGATGAAGTACAAATTGAAGAATGTTCGATTACAGACCATCTCAATACTGGTGAGAGATTGGAATAAAAAAAAGTACCATTGGTTAGTAACACAGTAAACATAACCATGAACAGGCTAGGACATTTTTACACGTGTGCCGTTCCTTTAGATATCATCAATAATCAAGAAGATGTCCAGGGAAAGGTGATATCACTTGATCCTGCATTCGAACATTCATGACATGTTTGATCCAGAAGGACAAATCATTGAGGAGACCTTTTAAATTATCAAAAAAGTACGATAACTTACAAAGTGACAAAGATCAAACTTTCAGTAGGTTGAGAATGATGTGAAGGATCATTGAAAAGATAAGGAACTTGATCAATGAACGCCATCACCAATTGGCTTGCTGGTTATGCAAGAATTATGAGATCATACTGTTACCAAAATTTGAATCTTCAAACATGGTCTTGAAGAACAAGAGAAAGATCAGGTCAAAGACAGCACGGATGATTCTCACATGGTCACATTTCAGGTTTAGGATGTTTTTGCAACATGGAATTTGTGAACTGCAAGATAATAGAATGCACAGAAGAGTATACATCGAAGACTTGTGGGAATTGCGAATTCATTAAAAAAAATCTTGGTTGATCAAAACCGTTTAGATGTGATTCTTGCGATTTGGTGATTGTTAACAGAGCCAGGAATATCTTGCTCAAACATTTGACAGAGGATCAGGTTCACGCCTGACTCTGGGACTTGAAGGACTTGAACCTATATGGGATCCGATATGACTAACTTTATTTATTCTTATTGGATTCAATTTCAAGGTCAGATGGAGAGGAATTTATATTAACCCGACACTATCCTATTGGATGTGATTGTTATACATTTGAAATTACCGTGTCTGTAGTAATCTGATCTGGGTGTAAAGGATCAATGCAATGACGGATAACTTTTTCTAGTGTAATATTGGAAAGTACCTATCGGAATTCCTATCTTCTTTTCAAGTCTCTTTATTCAGAAGGTTAAACTTGGATCGGAGTTATCTTCCCTATCACAAAGCTATTTCTCTCTTTGAAAAAAAAGGTGAGTTTTCTCCTTTTATTACAAAAGGAGTATCCGATCCCAATGGTTTGAATTTTTTTTTTCTGCGGGGTTCGATTCCTGCGGGGGATCTTCCTATGTGCACTATATTTATTCTATTAAATCAGAATAAAATGCTAGTAAATGGAAATTAATATATTTAAGAACGTGATAATAATAAATATAATTGATGGGCTATTTCATAAGTAGAAATAGTAAAAAAATTGAATTTTTGAATTAAATTATTAAATTTAAATTTTGTTGAGAAAAAGAATCTTAATAATAAATCTTACGCCAATATGAAATATAATTTTCGCAAAATTAAATTCAATTAATCGGTCACGAAACCAAATTTGTTAGTTATTCATAAAAAAAATAAAATAAACCTATTTATAATTTTGATATCACTTTTTCGAAATGAGAAGAAAGATTTTAATCATTCAGTAAAAAAAAAAAAAAAACAAAGATATTAATCTAACCCACCTCCTTTTTTTTTTAATAAACAATAACCTATATACAAAATATTATCAAACATTATCAAAACGTTATCAAACATTATAAAAGAAACTATATGCAAAATATTAAAAATTATTCTAATAATAATGATATTGATTGTGAAGGAATTTCTAATGCTGAAATTTTGAAAAAAAAAATAAAATAATATACTAAGAAATTACTAATACGGTGAATACAAGGAATTCTCGATATTTGTCATTCTTCCCAATAAATATAATCTAAGAAAAACGAATGACTAATTAGCTTGAGTAAAAGGAAAATAAAATTTTTGCTTTGACAAAATTCCTTTTCGGTTGAGATTTTGAGCGACGGAGAGTAATTGAGGTCCTAGATTGTAAAAGATATCGAGGTAGCACATGGTTTTGGAGATCGAAAAAGGTATTTAATTAGTCGGATATGGATTCTTTACGTGAGAAAGAAATATAAGGAATACGATTTTTTCCTGATCAACATTTAAAATTGTTGGAATTCGAAGATAATCAAGGAATTCGAAAAATCGTCATTTGAGAATTCATAAAAATTTTCAAAATGTTTTCTCAATCAAATTACCTTTGTGAATAAGATAGTATTTACGAGCTTGGTTTAAAAGCTCTTGAGAAGCAGATGTCGAATAGGATAAACCTGAGATCAAGTATCAAATATGAGATCAATTCTCATTTGATAAATGAAAAAAATATTGGCAAACATTGTTGTTCACAATGCTAAGCCGAAATAATTAAATATAACCAATTAACTTAAAATTTCTCCCCAATGAAAAAAAAAAATATCCATATATAAAATAAATATAAAAAATACGTATATATACAGAAAATTTACATATAAAGGTTGAAAATTTTTAATATTAACAAGTAGTATTATTATTATTATAAGACGTACAGGATGGTAAACTTGATTCACTGGAATGTTTATGCCGTAAACTCTTTAATTCTTCAAATGCTCCTTTCCCTGGTTCTGTTGTCCCGTCTTTCCAGGGTCGCTTGATTATAACATCAGATTCATTAGTCGGACTTTCAATTACGGAATTTATGTCATTAACAGTAAATCCACCTATATATATAAAAGATTAATAAAAATTATTCATATTAATTTTTGTTAACTCAAATTTGAGGAAGAAAGAACAAAAGTTATTTGACCAATAAGTATTATCTATACTTGATCCCTACTTTTTTCTTGTTCAAATATAAAAAAGAGATCCGACTTTTTAAGTACCTTGTGCTACTTTTAATAAAACATTTTTTCGAAATCTTGAAGCAGCATCTCCTTTAAAAATATTCCCTTGTTTTGCTTTTAACCTTCGAACTAATAATACTCTACTTGTAACAGCAGCAAAATTTTCTTGTGGTAAAGCGGAAGTCGTTGTTCTTGGTGGGAATGCAGTACGGAATCCGTTTTCTTCTGGATTCCATTCAACTGCGAGATAATTTTTGCATGAAAATTGTGACGAAAAATGAGAACAGTTATGAATCTTTCGTCGTTTTGAGAATTCCAAGGGTACTAGGTTTAGGGGAGTTTGTTTTGGAGATAACATAAACGATGTCGTTGAAGCGTCATATTTTCGTTTTAATCCAGGTTCACCACCAAATATTGGCCACCAACCGTGATTATTAACTATATAACGCTGAAGTTTCAATGTATCTGCAGGAGGTTTTGGTATTTGAGGTTTTTGATGAGATACTATCGATGTCCATTTTAACCAACTCTGTGAAAAATAATTTGAAGAATTATCCTGTGAAGAGTCAAGTCCTTGCTGAAGACTCCCGGATATTAATGAGTTTGGAGCCATGATTTCCCCTTTAATAAGTATAAAATGGTCGTGAAAAAAAACAAAATTTTTAAATATCAATACCAGTTTTTAACCGAAAAGACGTTGAGACTTGTAGTTGATTTTATTTTTGTTTTTTTTTAATAAAAAAAAAAAAAGATTGAATTTTTGATAAACTTTTGATATATCAAGAGATCAAAAAGTTAAGAAGAAATCCCTTGTTATGAAAAATGCATTACAAAATTACACATCATCGCACTAAAAAAATGCATCACAGTAAATCTGTTAGGTAATGTGAAAAAAAAAAAAAAACAATAACCTGTTGAGTTGTGCGAAAAAAAACTGTTGTTTGGTGTATCACCTTAAAAAAGAATTTTTTAAAAAAACAATTCTCAGATGAGAATTTGATTTTTGACAACAAATCAAATTTGCATTCATTGTGCATTATCACTTTAAATTAAAAACTGTGATATTAAATATTGACAAAGAAAAATAATCTTAGTAGAGTTCACCAATTTGTATTTTAGGTATAATTCTTAGGAATTTAACCCGAGAATTTTAATTCCGGGGTAAAGGGTTTATAAAAAGGGTGTTCGAAAATTCGAAAAATCAATAAATAAATATGGGTTTTAGAACAAGTTTTAACTAGTTTAAAATTTAAATATTGTGGTAACGTGGTTAACGTAATGATCATTATGATCGAAAATTTATGATTTCGAATTTTTCCTTAAGTTACGTGTCATCAAATATAAGTTAATAACACCAATCACGTGTAACATTTTCTCCTATCTTAAAAAAAAGAACCATGATTACTCAATCCTAAACTATCTCTACCTAGTTTCTCAGCATCTAAGTTCATTTAAAGGTGAACTTCTTCTCAACAAAAAACAGTAAATTCGGTTATTGATCAAAAGTAATTTATTTTTAATTCTGTCAAAAACAAGTGATACAATGTGGGTTCCATAAATAACTTTTAGCACCCGAAAAGGTGATATAATTATGAATCAGATGCAATTTACATAATCCTAATGCTACATTTATATATTATATCATGGTAGAATAGAATAGGTGAGTGGATAAAAAAAATGAGTATTTCAAATATTTCAAGTTATTTTAAATATTTCAAATATCTCAAGTATCTTAAGTATCTCTAAGCGTATGGACAAGTTTTAATACTTTTCAGTTGACCTAATATAACAAATATAATATATTGAAGAGATAAAACTGCTTGAAAAATAAAATAAAAAAAAATAACACTTTGTATAACGGGATTATTATGGGATAAATGATTGAAATTTAATATGCGGAATGTGTGCTAGCACAAAATTTGAAAACTCCGCACATAAAAAAAGGCATTCGCACAAATTTTTGCTTATAGAATTTTTGAATTTCAAATGTTGAATAATATTATAAATATAATTTAGACAATCTTTAATAAACAAAAAAAAAATACAATATTATGGTAAACAATTATGAATAATGCTTAAAAATATCTATAAAAAGTTGAAACAGTTGATATAAATTATTTTTTTCCTTAATTGGATAAATTTGGTTTGGTAAAAGAACAATAACTTTTTGATAAAAATTTATTATTATTATTATTGTTATTATTTTGAAAGACAAAATCAAATAAAATCAATATTAATTTTTTTTTTCAACCCCCGTAATCTTTTCGTGTAATCTTTAAATGTTCTGGTCTGCAGGTTTCGCCTTATTTGAAAATAGATTGTGTCATGTATGGCTTTTTTGTTCAGCAAACTTCTCGTAATATGGGTAATATTGGTAATATTGGGAATATTGGTAATATAGGTGTTACCGGATACTGTGCCGACTACACAATTACAGAAAGTTTATTAGCCAACAAAGACCCCTTCAAACTATCGAACGCCTTTTTGTCTTCAATACTAAAGTTTCTTTTTGCTCTCTTTTTGTCTCCTTTGGAGAGCCATTTTTTCCTTGTCAAAATTTAGATCTTAGAACTTTTATTAGTATCTTTTGCACAAACTTGATGCATACTTCATCTTTACATTAGTACCCTTTATTGTATAACTGTTGTCCTATACCCCTATATTAATAAATACCTTTTTTTTTTATTAAAAAAAAAAAAAAAAATTTCTTTAACTTTTTTTACACATCTACAGTCGCAAGTTTTAGCATTTTTTTCATCACTAATTTGTGCGAATTCTCAAGTCTGACTCTCTAATCTTAATCACTTTTCTCGTGGTTACCAAAAACTTCCTAACTAATAATCTAATTAGTTGAGTCCTTAAAGCAATAAAATTTACTTGAATTACTAATTAATTTTACAAAAGATTTGACATGAGAGAATCGAACTTTTCCTTTCCTTCACAAAATCGTGCTTCGGTTTGCATCACTTCCGCTCTTTATGACCGTAGAGCTCTTGACTGTTCTGCCATCTTACCTTTAATCAATTCTCTCACACATCTTACTTATTTGACAAGTACTTCCCCTCGCATCCGAGAGATTCTCACGATGGACGGTGGGTTAGAACGTCTTGTTCGTATACTGAAAACTACTAAAGTGAACGATAAAAGAAGTGGGTGGAAATGGTCCATGGCATTTCAGTGTGTTGCTAACGTTGGTGTTCGTGGTTCTGAAACTATAAGAACAAGGGTAGTGGACGCTGGCATGGTACCAGTAATTATAACTGTATTGGACAATTTTTTAAGAGCTCTTGATCATGTTAGGTTGGAAAAGGAACAACAACTTGCCGCACAATTGCTTACACCTCAACATCCATCATTAATTACAACACCTTCTACCGCTATTCCTATTGCATCCACATTTGTTGGTCCTATAGAAAATGTTAATTCATCGAATGTTATTCAAATGTCTGACGAATCCGAACAACCTTTAACTTCTTATCCTCATTCCCCTAATTCATCAACATCCATTTTTACCACTTCTTCTTCTGAATATCAAAATGATAATTCTGATATTTCACATGCTGGTTCATCAAATATGCAAACGGTTATTTCAAATTCGAATCCAGCTACTACCTCTACTAATAGGTTTTTAGCAAATGTCGCAACGACGTTTGATATAAGGTCTTCCGATGACGCAAGATCAGATGTAGCCTCTTGGGGTTCAGTTGCTGATAATGAAGATACAGGGTTAACTACAACAGTACAACAATTACCATCAACGATTTCCAGTACTACAGGTACGAATATAGCTCAAAACCTAAGAACAACATCACAAACACCTAATAATGCAGTCCCTACCACAACAAATACGACTTCGCAAACATCATCAATGTTAGAAATTGACGTACTTTATCGTGAAGAAGACATTCTTTTATCTCTTCAACTTCTCGCTTATCTCTCGAAATATCCACATTTACGTGCCACATTTCATAATGCTTACCCACCTCATAACGTATTTTCTCTTGTGGAAAAATTTACTCATCGTCTTCATCCTACCGAAATTCAGTATTGGGCCGGCGTTATTATGCGTAATGCTTGTCGTAAAGATGAAGAAAAAGGTGGAATTCGTCAATGTGCTTATATGGCTTGCGGTAAATGGGAAAGTTATCCTAGAGAATTTGCAAAATGTCGGAGATGTCGTAAAGCCAAATATTGTTCCAAAGCCTGCCAATCGAAAGCCTGGAGTGAAGGTCATCGATGGTGGTGTACGGAACGACATGTTCATGGAGAATCAGAAACCGTGACACAAAATGGGCAATCAACATCTTCGAACACTTCATCAGGATTAAATGGTCATCGTTCCAGAGCCTCTAATAATAATAATAATAATAATAATAATAATAATAATAATAATAATAATAGCAATAATAATAATACAGTTAGTTCAACGAATAATCGGGAAACGACGTCATCAACAACGACCGATTCAACGTCTCACGGTAGTGGATCAGGATCAGGATCAGTTTTAGTATCGTGAGATAGATTTAATGAGAAAAACGCATAAACAAGGCGTTCCGAAACATCATTATGCAGAAATTTTATATCACCGAAATTTTAAATATGTTTTATTGCATATATTATACTAGATTTAAGTGTTTTGGATCATAGCTTTTATTCACATTGTTTATAAATTTGAGTTTTTGGTTGTAGAATATTTTTGGTGTAAATGTTATTCATTGTGATTTATATTTTACTTTTATTGGAAATCAAATTTTTGGAGTTGGCTTTTTAACATTGGTTCAATTTTGGGTAGTAGGGGAGTTTTATTTGTTTTTCTTTTGTTTTGTCATCATGCTTAACATCTTTAACATCGCTAAAACAATTTGTCTTGTCCTTATTTTACAATATATATATATATTTGTATTATTTTTTTTTTTTGCTAGATTATTATTCATTGTATTTTTTTTTGTACGCACTTTTTACAAAAATTTGGATTAGGGCACAATAAATTGTGCAAGGTTCTGCCTTATTTATCGGACTCTCACTCCCCCATACTATCCTTATATACCAATCGCAAACAATCTTTCTCCTATATTTAGCACAGATTATAACAGAATTATTACAACAGAATTGTTTATATATATATATACGAAAAAAAAAAAGCATTACTGTATTTTTTTTCCTAGTCGTTCTGTAATAACTTGTGCTATTTGTTTTAACATAGAAGATATTTTTCATTTAGATATCTTAACCTTGTATTTTACATTTATTTTTTTTATTTTTATTTCTTGTGATAATCTTATAAAACGGAAATTGATTTTTTTATGTTAAAATATTGCATAAAAAAAGAACAATTTTAAGAAATTAAAATATTAAAAATATACCAATATACAAGATACTAAAGATAATATAATACATCATCAATAACAATAACAACAATATAATATGTTACATGTTACCTTTTTCTTTTTCTTTTTCTTTTTTGAGCCCTGATGTTTCTAAATTTTCTATTTCACGTGATTCAAATGCCAAATATTTTAAATTTCTTACATCATTAAATCAATAAATATAATCATAGAATATTAATTTATCTTCATTTATCAATTATAGATTATTTAATAAGTTTTCCATATATCTGTTGTAACGGGACAACCCTTTTGAGAATGATTAATAGTAGCAAGAAAATTAGCCACAAGAATATAAATTGCACTTTTTCCATCTGAATCTTTCCAATTCTTCTCTCTTGCTGCTTGACTAATTTTTTCTTTTAATTCAGCAAGGAGTATTCCTCCACTTTCAGAAGAAGAAGAGGGTGATAATGATGATGATGAATAAGAAGTAGAAGAAGCAGCCGTAGCAGAAGTAGTAGCACGAAGTATTTGTAAAATAATAGCACAAAGAATTGTTTGGGAAGATGGTAATGGTATTGATAAATTCATATCAATATCACTTTGTTCCATCACTGTTGCAACATTATCTACCAATGTGCTATTTACTTCACTATATAATAAAGTTATTCAGAAAAAAATTAGTTTGATTTATAAATATAATAATAATAATAAGTGATATTAAAATGAATATTTACTGTATAACATCTATATCAAATTCTAATAGTAACAACTTTCGATGGCCCTCCAGAAGTTGTTCCAACGTTACGATCACATTTTTCTAAAAAAAAAACCCCCATCATTATTGATGTATTTTATAATTTAATTCATGTTTTTTTTTTAACCATTCAGCATTTGATCTTACCAAAACATCTTTGACTCTTTCAAGATCTTCTGATAAAACGTTATGTAATAGCTAAAAAAATATATAAAAAAAATGGTTAAAAAATCGTAATCGAATATTCAACAAAAAATAATTGTCACATATAAATTATAAAACAAACCGCTAACTCTTCAGATTCATCCATATTATCTTCTTGATCATCATCAGATTCTTCTTCGTTCATCACAAGACTTCTCAAACGTTTATTTAATTCGATTTCTTCCTCTTCTAGACATTTTTGATGCGCCAATTCGTCATCTAAGGCATTGATCTTAATCACGCACATACAGTAATTTTCTGAAAAAGTTAAAACCTTAATTTTTTATATCATGGCTTCCTTTTCTATTATCAATGTAAATATATTACCTTATTCGTGTATTCTTGTTTTAACATATCTAACGCGAGAATTTCCATCTCATGATGTCGGATTTCGTCTTCAATTTTAACAGTTTGTTCATCTTTCACTGCTTTTGAAGTTTTTTCATTTACCTTTTCACGTTCCATACTTTTAGCCCTTTCAGCTATTCTAACTTTCTCTAAATTGATTCTTTGCTAATAATAATTTTTTATTAAAAAAAAAGAGATCTCAAAAATTTATTATCATTAAAATATGAATAAAAATGAAATATACTTTTTCCATTATAGATTCTAAACTATCTATTGAAGAAGTTACTTCTTCGTAACGTTGCGCTATTAATTCTATTTGCTCTTTAGCATCCCGAAGATTACTTGTTCATTAAAAAAAATAATCATTTAAATATTTAAATATTTAAATATATTTATATATAATTGATACCAAAAAATTAAATATTATAAAGTAAATACCATATTTGAGCCAGTACATTTGCTGCTCGTAATATTTTATCAACTGTTACAGGGTCAGGTCCACGTAAAGGAGTAGGCGGTTCTAGCTCCTCCCTTTAAAGAAATAGTATATATAATATATATGTTTGTTTATATGTATATATGTATGTATGTATATATGTATGTATGTAAAAACAAGTTCACCTTGGAGTTATACCTAGTTCTTCAACGAGTGTGAATAATTTACGTTCATGTGGTGCTGCCTCGCGTACTGATTTACGTGTTGATGATAATAACGAAGTGACGCGCGCATTACTTGTTGAAAAATCTAGCGAAGCAACTTCAGAAGAAGCTTTTAATATATTCTCTAAATGCGTAAAACCTTTAAACATTTCTAATTATGCAATTTAAAGTATTATCATTAAAAGAATAAAAGTACAATGAACGCGAGAAAATATTTATATACTTTTTAACGTGTGATCTGCATTTTGTTTTGATCACTTTTCAATCGAGGCATTTCAATTGTGCTAATACAAAATTATCTCAAAAAAAAATAACAAAACAAATATCTCTTCCATAGTCGAAGATTTTAGCAATGGAAGCGAGTTGATGTCAGATTCTTACGGAAGAAAAAAGAAATTTAGGACTTATATATTGGGCAAAAAAAATAATAAAAAATAATTTTAGAAATTGGACTATAAACTGGTTTAGCCCGAATCACATAAATATTTGTATCTATCTATTAACAGATGTGTAATATTTTGTCCTGTGTTGGTATTTTATGTATAAAGCTTCTTACAAGCCTGCCAGGCCTTAATTTCAGGTTTACAAGCCCAATTCAGACCTGCAAAGTCCAGTCCAAACTTGTCAGGCTTACAAATTTATACTTTTATTTTGTATCAATTTTATGAAATAGGGAGCAATTTTCTATTATAATATTCTTAACATCATTTGAAAGTTCTTATTTTAAGCTTTGTTGTAGTTTTCGAATCACATTTATATTATCAATAATCACCAAGTTATTACCATCAGAATGCATTACTTCACATTGGTTTTGCACAACAGGAACCAATTTGTTGAGTCAAGGTGAATATTTAAAATATTAATGCTTGTAAGTTTACAAGTCCATTATTAGACTTACAAGTCATACATACATTTATTCAGATCGATTAGAAATGTTTTTTACTAATAAATTTTTGATGCAAATAAGCAAATAGATTTGTGTCAAAATTTTTGTTAATTTTAATTATAAATTTTGTTGAATCATCTTTCTAGTGCCAAGTTATTATCATTCAATTAATACTTATTAAATTAATATGAAAAGGAAGTGTTTTCTACTATGGTGTTCTATTATTAGTCAAAATCTCTTCTGATGATCAATATATTTTCTATTTAAATATTAATTTTTTTTGAACTTTTTTCTTTGTAAAAAACTGTTAATCTTTTTTTTTTTAATATTAATAAACAAATGAATTATAATATTCATTTTGATAATGAAAGTACAAATAAAGTTATTATTACCGTATATAGTTATGTAATTTAAAAATTTAAAACTAATTTTCCCAAAATCAAATGATTAATCAAGATGCTGTCTAAATTTGAAAACTATTACAATGTGAAAAACTAGTATTATTAAATACAAGTTAGGTTGAACTAAATTGAACCAATCAGATTGAACAAGTTATTAATTTAATTCAGTTCCCATTAGGTTAATTGAAAGTTGATAAAATTAATAGTAATAACTTCATCAGTTTAACAGGTAATATAGTTCAACTTGATTTTGATTCTAAATCAAATCAAGTCATAAAGTCAAAATGTTATTTATTTGATAAGTGACAGATAAGTATAATGTTTGTATAAAAGATCAGATATCAATTAGAAAAATAATTTGAACTACATGTATATTACCAAATTTCTAATATCTCAAATTCAAATTCTTATGAATTGATCACTAGTCAAATACAAAAGAATCACTGTAACAATCGACTGTCCTATATGTTATAAATCAGCTAAAATCGGAATTCCTTTTCGGTACGGCATATCTTTTGTATTTGACCTGTGGATACAAAACTCATCATTAATTAAAATTCTATTTATGATAAAACTATCCTATCCTATTTTTTTTCATTTGACTAGTATATATAACATAAAATTTTTTACACCTATTGAATACTTAATATATAATATAAAATATTATATTGAATATTGTACTTGTATCCAAAATTAATTTTGAAAAAAAAAGTCAAAATAGTTTTTTATAGAAGACAAAATTATTTTATATAGAAGATGAAATTTTTTGAAATTTGATTTAAATTCTTTGATTAAAATACACCTAACTGGATATTATTTTTTTATTTCCATACATAAAATAAATTCTGAATATATTTCAAAAAATAAATTTTGAACCTCGAAACAGGTTTTAAAATAGAATATAATATTGTAATTTTATTTTACAAATAAGAAAGCAATTATAATAAGAATGATATTTGAATATAGTCAAGTCTCAAAAGATAGGCATATGTGGTATTTGATTATGATACAAACTCACAATTCATTCAAATTACAGTAATAATAACATAAGAAACATCTGGAAGCATACCATAAAAAATTTAAATATTATTGAAAAGGGCAAAATTTTATTTATTTTTGAATTAATCATTTATGAATAAATAGAATTGTAATTTCTTTTAGATAAATTATGATCATCTAACCAATCATGTCGCCCATATCCGGTCATAAATACAATTAACTGGTGCATTTAATATTTACCACTAACACAAATGGACAATGGAAAAATTAAGTGATTTAATTTTAATTTTTTGATGTTGAATAATTACAATAATTACAATCTAGCACTGCCCGCAGATTTACAATCATTAAAATATGGATGTAAAATAGCACGTCTGGCAGAAATCCGACGAACAGTATCATATGTAAGCAATTTCTATTGTGAAAATATTAATATTAAATTTCACATTTCCAATATTTTTACGGGTAAGAATTATATTTTTTATTTTTTAATTACCTGAAGTAAATCAATACCTAATGAATCTAATGTTGGAGCATATTGATCGAGTTTCTGTGGTTTCCATTGTGGAAAACAAGGCTTATAATCTGGAAGATAACTAATTCCCGGCCACATTTCTTCATTTGGTGTTCCTAGAAGCCTACGCATTTAAATAAATAAATAAATGGATTTATATATTTAATATCGGGTTGTATTTTTAGATTCCAATAAAATAATTTAAGATATATGAAAAAATGTACATGAATATACGGAAAAGTTGATCGATTTCGGATTCACCTAATTTTTTTATTATTACAAATAAATTGTTAATTATATTATCAATTTAATGTTTAATTTGTTAATAAAATTTACCTGGAAATAATGTTTTTTGGTTAGCCATTTCTGCAAAAATACATCCAATACTCCACATGTCAATTGCAAAGGCATATTGACGCGATCCAAGTAAAATTTCTGGTGCCCTGTACCATAAAGTTACCACCTAAATAAAAAAAATTCACAAATTTAATATATAAGATTTTCTTTTAACATCTTTCTTCACACGTTTCACACGTGTTATACTCCTAAAATATAATTGCCTCGTGAGTATATGGTTTTATAGGAATGGCAGCAGCTCGGGCTAAACCGAAATCTGCTACTTTAAGATCTCCTCCTGTATCAATTAATAAATTCTGAGGTTTCAAATCACGATGAAAAATACGATGCATATGTAAGAACATAGTTCCATCGACAAGCTGGTACATAAATTTCTATAAATCGTAATTTTATATTAATGTTATTTTAATATTCTCGATATAAACAAACAAATTGATAATAATTTAATTACTTTTATAATCAATGGGTCCATTGTATGTTTTTTTGGAATAGCTTTAATAAACTTTTTCAAATCCATCGTCAAGAATTCAAATACGAGATATAATTTGTTTTCTTGACTAACGATATCCAAAAGTCTAAGGTTCGAATTCCCGATTTTTTTTTTTTTTTAATCAATAATAAATATAATATTCTTAATGTCTCTTGTATATTTTTTTTTTTAAAAAAAAAATAGCAGACATACTTCACAATATTTTCATTTCTGGTAGCTTCTTTTAGTAAAGATATTTCTCTTATTGAAGTGGGTGGAATTCCTTCTTCTGTTTCCAAACGAATCTTCTTGATTGCTACAATGTTTCCAGTTGTCTTATCTCGTGCCTTGTAAACCACACCATATGTACCTATTCAAATTGAATGTTTAAATTCAATGTGTATTTAAATTTAAGATGTTAATTATGTTAATGGCGAAAACTTTCTTTACCTTCACCAAGTTTTTCAAGTTTTGCATAATTTTCTTCCATTTTAACTATAATTTAGAAAGTGTAAAAATAAAATAAAAATAATACAATTCTGAAGAATTTATAATATATAAATTAAATAATGTATTTATTTCTATTTATTATTTTTTATTCCGGGCTAAACAAGTTAAACAAATCAAATTGACAAATATACAAGCATATTGATAAATATTACGCGTTATAACGTGTTGAAGATATTCGCGTTTCACGTGTATAACGTCATCAAAGGATATCTCGTGAATGAAATTCTCACGTATGTTTCACCACTTAAAAATTCGTTCACATTCCCTTCTGTGCTATTATTTTTGTTGAGAGATAAGCAATATTTATTTGTGTTTGAAAGATTTCATCTTGATAAGATAAAGAAACTTAATCTTTCTGTCAAAATTCGATAAATTAGATGAGATATGTAAAATCCAAAATTGGAATATCTTGTACTTTTTTTTTTACAGTTGCCAATCTTCATATCTAATTATCTAATCATATTAATTTAGTATTTAAAGAACATTGATATTTTTCTCTCAAAAAAAAAAAAAAAATTAAAATTTAAAATTCTATATTCTTTCTTCTTTGACTTTAATTTAACGAATTTTTTTAAAAATGGTTAAAGCTGTTGTACTTGGTGCGGCTGGTGGTATTGGGCAACCCCTTTCGCTGCTTCTTAAATTAAACCACGATATTACAGAACTTGCTCTTTATGATATTGTTAATTCACAAGGTGTTGCTGCAGACTTGGCTCATATTGATACACCTGCCAAAGTCACTGGCTATTTACCTCCAAATAATGGTTTACAATCAGCTTTGACAGGTGCTCACTTGATTTTAATTCCTGCTGGTGTTCCCCGTAAACCCGGTATGACGAGGGATGACTTATTTAAGGTGAATTTTCTTTTTAATCAAATTTATATTATTAAATAATAAATTTATTAAATTCAATTTCTTTCAATAATAATATTTATAATTAATATTTTATTATATTATATTTTTTTAACATAATTTTATATATAATTTATAAATATTTCACATATATATATATATATATATATATTCATAAATAATTTTATGATTAGATCAACGCAGGAATTGTTAAAGATTTGGCAGCTAGCATCGCTCAAAATGCACCCAAAGCCTTCGTTCTTATTATTTCAAATCCCGTAAATTCCACAGTTCCTATTTTTGCAGAGGTTTTAAAGAAATATAAAGTATTTGATCCAAAAAGATTAATGGGAGTAACTACACTTGATCTTGTTCGCGCATCTACTTTCGCAAGTGAAGTTTTGGGGGCTGATCCTCGAGAAGTCCGTGTTCCAGTTATTGGTGGTCACAGTGGTGTGACTATTATTCCACTTTTGTCTCAAGCCAAACCAAGTTGTACCTTTACTCAAGACCAAATTGAAACTCTAACAAATCGAATCCAATTTGGTAAGATATGCAATATTCTAAATATTCTTTGAAATGAAAAAAAAAAAATGAATATTATAAAATTATTTATTCGGATTGAAAATTATTTATTCGAATGAAATATAGGTGGTGATGAAGTTGTTAAGGCTAAAGATGGTTCAGGATCAGCAACGCTTTCGATGGCTCACGCAGGTGCTAGATTTGCTTCACGTATTTTAGATGCTACCATCAAAAAAGCACCTGGAATCACTGAATGTTGTTATATTAATCTTGATGCTGATGAAAAATGTGGTATTCAAATTAAAAATACTACCGAGAACTTAGAATACTTTTCTGTCAGCGTTGAATTAGGCGTAAGTTTTTTTTTTTTCTTTTGTACATTTTTTATAAATAAATAATTTTAATCATAATAATATTAATATTTTCATATTTATTTTATTTATTTTTATTTATTTTAGCCTGAAGGAATATCCAAGATTTATCCTATTGAAAATCTCTCTAGATATGAGGAAAAATTATTGAAAGATGCAATTCCAGAACTCAGAGGAAATATCACTAAAGGAATTACATTCATTAGTGAAGATTCTAAATTGTAAAATTACTCTCATATATAATTTATAATGGCCAAGTCATGTTATTTACTTTAATAAATGTACAATTAAGTATTAAATGATTAATTGAATATAAATTTATTTTTCAATCTAATTTGTAATTGCCTTCAATTAAATTTTTTATTCTTTATAAAAAAATAAACTCAAAAATATTATACATTATGTATAAAAATTATGGAATGTTCCCAATGCATGAAACGACAAACATAAATTGATAATAATGATTATGTGCCGTGATTAAATTGGATTGTTTTTTTTTATCAGCACACAATATAAACATATTCATGAAAACGAGAAAACCAAAAGTCAAGACGACTTAGTTGTTAGCCTCGGTGTTAATGGTGCTGTTGAATGTCAAAAAAAAAAAAAAAAAAAAAAAAAAAATTTTTTTTTATTGTGAAATATAAAATATAGATAATCTAGTGATTATCGCACCATATAAGAATAGGGGAAGTTCACATGAAAAGACGTGAAAAGACAAAAATGGTTAAAATGGAACTAAAAATGTGTATAAAATCTATACATTTCTTTCGAGACACAAAAAAAAAATAATGGAATTTTTAAATTACATTGATTTTTCACAAAAATCCTTTTGGATTTCTTTTGCTTCAATTACATTCAATCCAATCTTTTGGAATATCGTAGCAATTAAAGGTATTTTGTTTCGAAAATTAGATTTTTATTAAAAAAAAATTGTTTTTATTAATTTTTTTTTTTTTGATATTATTTTAATTCTAAGAATATCATACACACTTTCTAACTCGTATTTTTGGAGGTCCTTATCGTGGTTGTTACGCGTTGGCTATAACTATTTTTTCTCTTGGAATTTTTAGAGATTTTTTGTAAGTTATTTTAGTTATTTTACTAAATTATTTACATTATTCATATTTCTTTAAACATTGATAAAATTATATTAATACATAAATGAATAATAATAATAATAATAATAATAATAACAATAAAATAAATAAATAAATAAATAAAGATATAAACGTGCAATTGAAAATCAACCAACTCTAGATTTATTACAAAATGATATTATTAAGGTAATAGCCATAATTTTATTTTTTGTTGGTAATATTTTTGTATTATCTTCAATGTATGCATTAGGTATTACAGGAACTTATCTTGGTAGGTGATATCTGAATTTCATCTCAAAAATATAAAAAAGAAAAAAAGAAATCATAAAAAATTAATTTTCTATAGGCGATTATTTTGGTATTTTGATGGATGAACGCGTAATTTGTTTTCCATTTAATGTACTCGAAAATCCTATGTATCATGGTTCTTCAATGGTATTTTTAGCTACTTCTTTATGGTAAATTATTATTGTTCTCTTTTTTTTTTTTTTTTTAATGGGATCGGGATAATTATTAAATTAAACTATTATAATTCTTTTTTTTTATTAGGTATTCTAGTCCTGCAGGAATTATTTTGACAATCTGGGTTTTCATACTTTACTCGATTGCTCTTCAATTAGAAGGGTAAATAAACATGATAATTATGATGATTATGATAATTTATGCTTTTCGAAAGTACAAAAAAAAAAAAAATTAATTTTATTTTCATAATTTAATATTTAGGCCTTTCACAGCAATGATATACGATAAACGTGAACGAAATAGAAAACGGGGAAAAAGATTAAATTAATTTTTTTTTATTGGTGTAAAGTGCGAGTGAATCACTGCAATTCTTATAAATTATGAACATTTATGTTGACATTCACAATCACATTAAATCATTACATTTTTCATCATAACATCCAATATTATTTGTGAGAATAATATCGAATAAATCATTTTAAACTTCACTTTTCTCTACTTTTCTCTCGGGATTGTAATACGGACACTATATATATTGTATATATTACAAATGGTTCGTTTTTTAACTTACAAAAGTATTAAACGAAACAACCAAACAACTCCGCTTCTATCAAGCAAAATTTAACAAAGACTCAGAGAAATGATCAAATAAGTCTTTAATAAGGATGTGAATGGTAAAACTAATTGTTAAAATTGGTAATAAAAGTTATGAAATGCACAAGTTATTATAGTATATAATTTAATTTAATTTAACTACCATTGTTGTTAAAAGAAATCAGCCAATCAGATACAAATATTGGTGTCAAATAACCAGTGGTGCGATTTTTAGTAACGTCCATAATAAATAATAATTAAATAGGTATGACGATAAACTGTACGGTACAAACGCTATTTTGTACTGTACGATTTTATATAAATTTTTGCACAAAATTCGTACAATAATATATATATTATAAAAATCTAATTGTACTGTATGAACTTTTTTATGTTAAAAAACCGTACAGTACAAGTATTTTTATATTAAAAAGCCGAACAGTACTAAATATAAACCCAACCCCTGTAATATATATTATTATCTATTTATGTCAAAATTAGGGGTTAGGGTTTGTGTCACATGCAAATCAATTAGGGGTGTTACATTTTATTATCACAACCTCAACACACCCCAACATTCAATTTTTATTATATTTTTTTAGGGACAGAATTTTTTTGGGTCTAAATATTATTCGTCACATTCATATATCATCCAGATAAAATTCTCACGATTAAAAATATCACGTGATGTTATTTAATCAACCGCACAAGTCACTATTCGTACAGTACAAAATAGCGTTTCGTACCGTACAGTTTTTATCTGTATACCCTAATTAAATAATTATAAATAATAATAATAATTATAAATAATAATAATAATGAATAGAATGAATTTTTCAGACTTTACACAAAATCTTAATCAATATGTAGAACAAGAGAGTGGATCCCAGATAGCGGAATTATTAACCATAAGAGCGCCCTTTATTCAATCTTTAGCTAGTAATTGTGACAAGATCTCGATTCGAAAATTAGAAATTGATGCTAAAAGAACTTTAGAACAACCTTGGAATGAGTTTGTGGTCCTTTACGTTAAAGTCATTATATCAATGAGTAAAAGGAAGTATGCGGAAGCTTTTGATGAACAAAATTTATTGGTTTCGTATCCTTTTTTTTTTTTTTTTTTTTAATAAAAATATCATGAATATTTTTTTAAGGAGAGATCTCGTTATCCAGAGAAAAGATTTTTTTTTTTATTAATGCCTTAACAATTTTATTTTTTTAATTATTATTATTTATAAATTTTAAAGAAATTTTCATAAAGCATTTCAAAATATTTTGACTTTATCACGGTGGTCTTTACCTATTCTATATGTTCTTGATTATGATTTAAGATTACTTGCGATTAAGGTAAATAATGATAATAATGAGAAAATGAGATAGGAATTTTTGAATTCAATTGGATTTTCTTTTAATAATTCATCTTTTTGTTAAAATAATTTATAATTTTCTCTCACTCATTTATCAATAATAAAGTCTGATTTAATCTTCATGATGACAGAAAAACCACCAAAAAATTTGGAAATAGCAGCTCGAGCAATAAATAAATCATTTTCTATTTGTATAACGGATAGGTAATGTAAATAGAGAGAGAGAATGGAAAAATCTGATCTTTGAAAATAATGATAATGATGATGATTATTATTTTATTATTTCAGAGGTTCACTTGGTGTATCACGTAAATGGGGAACATATTATTTTGCAGGGCTTTTATTTAAAACTTATTTTAAGGTTCATTTATTTATTTATTTATTTATTTATTTATTTATAAATAATTGATTATTTATTTATTATAATTTAAAATTAGTTAAAACAACAAAATCTCTGCAAGAACGTTATGAGATCTATTAAAGCTGCATCAGTAGATTTACCACCATTTGAGAGATTTCCTAAAGCACATCAAGTAACATATCTTTATTATCATGGATTACTTCTCTTTCTAGATGCGGAATACAATCTAGTATTTATCTCATTATTATTATTTATTATTATTATTTATTACTATTTATTATTATTATTTTATTTAAAATCAATTATTTATTTAACCATTTATTTATTCATCATTATTAATCAATCAATTAATTAATTACCAAAGGCTGAGGAAAAGTTAGTAGCCGCATTTAGAATGTGCCCAAAGAGTAATAAGAAAAATAAAGAGTTGAGTTGAAACATAAAAATAATATTTTTAATTTAACTTATAATAATATTTCATATAAATAATATCTAATATATATATAATAATATTTTAATAATTATAATAGGTTAATCCTTCGATATCTTATACCAGTTTGGATAATTAGAGGAATTTTACCATCAACAGAAATACTTTCACGTTATTCCCGATTAAATAAATTATATAAACCATTTATTGATTCAATTCGAGAAGGAAATGTAAAGAATTTTGATGATGCATTGGTCATGAATGAAATTAAATTGGTATCTCAGAATACTTTTTTGACGGTTGAATTGGCAAGGGAAATAGCAATGAAAGTCTTATTTAAAAAAGTGTGAGTTTATTAATTAATTAATTATATTTAATTTCATAACATTATTATTATTATATTATATATTATATTGTATTACATTATTTTTTATTAATTAATTATGTTATATTCCATTATTATATTATTCTATTATCTATAGTTATATTATCAATAATCGAGAATCAAAAATACCATTAACATTATTTCATAAAGCATTAAATTACGTTGGTAGAGAAGTAGAGATGACTGAAGTTATGTGGTTCTTATCATCAATGATTCATAAAGTAATTCATTCATTCATTCATTCATTCATCCATTCATTAAAACTATTCATTAATTAATTTAATTAATTTCTAATTCTTTCTAGGGTTTGATTAGAGGACATATACAGTATTCAAATCAATTTCTAGTATTGAGTACTATAAATCCATTTCCAACTTTGATTCAACAATAATTTCATTCCTTTTTTGAAAATTAAAAATTAATACATGTCATTTTGCAAAAGAACTTCTTAATTTTAAAGATTTGTTTGGTTAGTTAACAATTCAAGGACTATTTGTTTAATCACTCAATATATATATAAAAAATATATGTATATTTTTTGATGATGATAATAATAATAATATTATTATTATTAATGAGATAATTCTTTAATAAGATGATGATGATTATTATTATTATTAATTTATAAAATGAATTAAAATTATATATACATGTACTACTTTATTTTATTATTGACTGATATTAAATAAATTAATGCTATAATTATCAGTTATTAGTTATAGCAATAGTATTCAATTTATCAATTCATAACAATAATAAAAATCATTTCCTTTATTTTCTTTTGATAATGTTATCAGATATAGAGAGAATGGAGAGAATGATATCAAAAATATAGAGATATAGAGATATAGAGATATAGAGATATAGATACATAGAGAATGATATCAATATAGAAACATAATGATTATTGTTATTATTGTTATTATGATTATTACAATGTAATCATTTTACCCAATCCAATTACCATTAAAGTAATTATTACAACTCCAAATCTATTACTATTATTCATTATCAAATAATTATTATTATTATATGATGATGATGCACCAGAAGAACTATTTGTACTATTAGATGTAACATCATTACCACCAGGAACATCCGGACTGGTAAATGTATTTTCTCCAAATACTGAAACCTTAAAACTTAAACTGATATTAAAGAATACCGTTTTACCCGTAGGATTTTGTATTGCCAAACATTGAATATCTTCTTCTGATAAAAGTAAAGTACCCGTATCTTGATCACATGATTGAATAGGTTTTTTATAACACGAGAGAGATGGAATGTAATTGTATTCTTCTTTTGAACTAATATCCGAAAATATTTTCATATTCTCTTCGGTCATTTGATAAACTAAAACTCCAGGTCGATATTTGGGAGTTGATTCGTTACTAGGTTTACCGGGTACGTTCGTACCTATGAAATCGGGTGTTAAAGTTAAGTTTGTTTCCGAGACGCGTATAGAAAAACCTAAATATTTAATAAATAATAAATTATTTTAAACAAATAAATAATTTAAATAATTTAAATAATTAAATAATTAAATAATTAGAGAATAAATAATAAATAAGAATACTCACTGATATGCTTAGTCTTGAAATCACTGCAAGCATACCATTCACCTCCATTTGGTGGAGCAGAAGCATTTCCGCTATATATATCTGCTGCATAAACATTAATTGTAGTCTATGTAGAAAAGAAAAAGTAAAGAAAAAGAAAAAAAAAAAAGAAAAAAAAAAGGAAAAGAAATTAAGAATATAAAGAATATAAATTAATAAACGAAAAAAATAAAAAAAAAATTATAATAATAAATAAAAATTATAATAAATAACAAATATAAAATATAAAAATTAAAATAACCTGAATAATGACTAAAATAATAATAATGATAAATGACATTGATGACATTGTGTTATATTAATAAAGCTTTCTTACTTTTGTAAAAGAGAGAGATATATAACACTAAGGAATATAATGAATAAGAAATATTGAATAATGAATATTGAATAATGAATAATGAATAAGGATGATTTATGATATTTAAGATAATGGATGAATAATAATGGAGAAGAAAGGAATGTGGAAGTAAGGAAAGAGAAAAGAGGAGAAAGGAGGAGAAAAGAGTTGAAAAGAGTGAAAAGAGGAAGAAAGAGGAGAAAAAGTAAATAAATTTACAGTCGCATCAATAACAGCAGAGAAAGATATATATATATATATAAAAATACTTTTCGGAAATTTTTGATAAGGTTTAAAGAATTGCATTTCTTATTAACCTAATTCTGTTAAAATATTAACGTAACGTAATTAACGTGGTTTAACGGTTTAACGCCTATTACTGGTGTTTTTTATTATATATCAAAGAATAATGAAGATAATGCAATGATTTCGATCATTAATACCTTCAATCCATGAGGATTGAATAAAAAGACATTTTAATTTAATTTTAATTTAGTTTTTTTTTTTTTATTATAACTTTTAATTTCGAGTTCATAGAGTTTTATTTGCTTTGTAAACCATTTATAGAGTTCTATAAAAATGCAAGTTATAATTTTTATTTATTTTATTTATTCATTTTTTTAGTTTTAAATAAAATAATATCAATTTCTATCTTTGGTAATGAAGAAGAATGAAAGGATTATTATTATTACTTTGCTAACTTTGCTTTTTTATTGCATTTTACTACTATTTTACTACTACGTTACTACATTTTACTACTTTACGAGTGATTTAATACATCGTCAATGAATGTTTAATGTATGAAACTTTGTACTATTTAATGTCAATTTTGAGAATTCATAATATACGTAATACAATTAACTTTTTTTGTCGTCGTCGTAATAAATAATGTTTTAGGAATATTTTCGCGTATAACAACAACAATAATCACATCATTAATAATAATATAATATATTATCGTTTCAATGATTTCCTTATATGGTTGATTTCAAGGATGAAAAAAGAAGAATGAGAAGGGTATAATTTACAATACTTGATTTTTTTCTTTTTATTCTTTTTGATTTCTATCAAAAGAATAATAATTAGAGATAGATAGAAAAAATCAATAGAATATATATATATTTACGGAGATCACATCCGTAATACATTGTTTGCTGGATTTAAAAAAATAAAAACAAAAAAATAACTTGAAGAACAATTTATCTTAATACTAATTTTTGAAATATCATTCACAAATTTGCATATCTCCCGCCCAAATTCAAATTTCAAATGCCAAAATCCCAAATACTAGTAATTTGAGAATAAAACTTGTTAATAATTTGATTTGAATTTATACCTAACTGTTTTTAACTAAAAAACGTTCATTGCTTTTTAGTTTTTAGCGTACCTAAAACTTTGACCTTTATCAGTCCCACTGACTTCAATTAACTTGGAACAATCAAGTCAAGCTAAACTGCAATTTGATCAACTTGAAGCTAAACTGATGACTTGAAACTCTCAAGTCAAATTAGTTTGGTCCCATTGATCTAGTTTGTATTAATCTAGGGGAATGAGTTTTGAGTTATACTCCTAAATTCAATTGATTCTATTCATTACACATGTTGAATGAATGCATATCATTTGTCAATAAATAATTAATTATTTAATTCATTATAAAGATCAAAATATCGTGTTAGTCATTTTTTCAAGTAATATTTTTTTTTTTCAAAAGATTTACGAAATAGTATTTAAAATATAACGAAATAATTCTCACAAAGTGTTATGTAAAAATGAATTAAAAATTGGCAATAAATTAAAAAAAAAATCATCTGGGTTTAATATTTACAAAGTCAGGTAAAATAATTTGGAACATATTTAATTTCTTTTGTTTTTTTTTTTCATAATAAAAATTTCCAATGGATTATAGGCATATATAAATCATGTAGAAATAGTAACAGGAGTTACTAACATTCCTACTTCTTATGCGTGGTATTATAACTCAAGTCCCGTTACTTATTTCTATTCTTTTCCTTTAATGAATCAATAATTCATTTATTTTCCTTCAAACAATTAAAAATAAAATAGGTTTCTATGTTAAGGTAGTTGATAATACAAAAACAGTCACAATGAATGCTGAGGTGTCATAATCCACTTTTTCAATGAGACACTTATCTAGATCCAACCGTAACAATCTTTTATTTCTACGCTGAACAATCTTGTAAAGATCCCGTAATGACAGCTCCTCAACTTTAGATTCTCAAACATATTGTCTTACAGTGTCAAATTCCAATCAATTTCCTGTCAAAGTTGAAATTTATCAACATGTTCAAAAAATTGAATATCCTATTTTTGCAAATATATATATATATAATTGTATTCAAAAAACAAATAAAATATTGGTTTATATAATATATTAACATAAAAAAAATTGCTTCATAGTATTTTTATTTTTTTTTTATTTTTCTTTATTCCTAATTTTCCGGCTTAAACGTGTTTTTTTTTTAAATAGCATAAATAGTTATGCTACAATAAATAATATTGCCTCCTTGAAATATATGTGTGTGATCAAAAAATCGTTCCTTTTTAGGTATTAACAGAAGAATTAAAACAAGTTCACAACGTAAATAGAAAAGGATAAGAATTAAGTTCAAGGTTAGGTAACAATGAATAATTAATTACTGGTATTACGATATTAATTCATTGTACGCTTTATAAAGACCAAAATATCGTGTTAGTCATTTTTTCAAGTCTATTTTTTTTTTTTTTTTTTTTTTTTTTTTTCAAAAAATTTACGAAACAATAAAAAATATTACATAGAATAATTCTCAAAAAGTGTTATATATAAAAATTAATTAAAAAATTGGCAATGAATTCAAAAAAATCATCTGGATTTAATATTTACATTATTCTTGCTTTCTTACTCCTAAGTCAGGTAAAATAATTTGGAACATATTTAATTTCTTTTATTTTTTTTTTTTTCATAATAAAAAATTTCCAATGGTTTATAGGTATATATAAGTCATGCAGAAATAGTAACAGGAGTTGCTAGCATTCCTACTTCTAATGCGTGGTATTATTGTAGTTCAAGTCCCGTTACTTCTTCAAGTTAGTTTTAATACTTTAATATCTTCTATTCCATTCTTTTCCTTTAATGAATCAATAATTCATTTATTTTTCCCAAAAAAATTAAAAATAAAATAGGTTTCTATGTTAAGGTAGTTGATAATTCAACAACAGTCACAATGAATGCTGGTAATATAACCGAGGTTCTCTTACCTACAAATGTGAATAGCCCTAACGGAGGTGTCATAATCCACTTTTTCAATGAGACAGGAATGATGACTTATCTAGATCCAACCGCAGCGACCTTTTTTTATTATTCAGCACAATCTTGTAAAGATCCCGTAATGATCTGTTCTCACAGCTCCTCAACTTTAGATTCTCGAACATATTGCCTTTCAGTGTCAAATTCCAATCAATTTCCTGTCAAAGTTGAAATTTATGAAAATTTTGGCGGCGGTGGTGTTTTACCGTCAACTTATATAGTTCCTTCTCCTACCAGCACTAATTCAACCACATCTAAAAGACCTACCATAATTTCAACTACTCCCACTAATACATCTAAAATAAGACCCACCAGTACTACTAGCAGTAGTAGTAGTCGTCCTACATTAAAACCTTCTACTACCGTTATTATTCCTATTGGTAGCAGTAATTCTGTTAAATCAATCTCTTTATTGTATTCGATCAGTACATTGGCTTTGAGTTTATTTCTTCTTCTGTTATAAAAACTTTTGATTGGATTATAGAAATTATTTATTTAATATTAATAATATTGTAATTTTAAATGACATTTATTTACTTTTTATTTTATTACTTTTATCATATTTGGTTAAATTTTAATAATAAATAAAAATAAATGATTTTGTGTTCTCATACTGACAAATATAGAAGAAAAATAAAGATGTTCAGATGTATATAGTAATAATATTCCAATTTTGTGATCAAGAAAATCTTTATCTTTTGTCTTTTCGCTAAAAAATCTAAATTTTACTGTAATTAATATTATTATAAAATTAAAATAAAAAAAGCTATTATTATTATATTTTTTTATCTGATTCATTCTTACACTGAAATTGTGATCAAGTTGAAGTTTTAATAAGAGACAATTGTGATTTATGAAATATAAAAAATGAAAGCGGTTATCGTGAAACAGCCAGGTAAAACATAAGTAAGAAATATTTATCAAGAATACAATAAAATCTTTATCTAAATTTGAAAGTTCATGAAAAGGTGATGCATCACAGTTATATTTTGGAGAAATTTCAAAACCAACGCCTAAAGAAAATGAATTATTAGTGAAGGTCAGGAACATATAAATTATTTGGTGTCTTTATTTATTACTGTCCAAGTTAAAAAATTAAAGCTCACCTAGGTTAAAAGTTTTGGTTTAAATCGCATGGATATTTTACAACGTGAAGGAAAGTATCCCCTGCCACCAGATATAACAGATATACTTGGAGTAGAAATTGCGGGAATTGTCGAAGAAATTGGTAGAAGTGGTGAGTTATTATTATTCTTTAATAATTTTTGTCGGATAAATGTTCTAAATGATTTATATTATATTATATTATATTATATTATATTTATTATATTTATAATATGTCACAGTCACAAATTATAAGATTGGAGATCGAGTTTTTGGATTGATATACGGAGGTGCATATGCCGAAGTAAATTTTATGATTCATTTTTTTAAGGTTTTCTTCAATAAATTTTATGATTTATTTTTTATTAAATTTATTAAAATCATAGTATGCGTGCCTTAATGAAAGTATGGCCATGTTATTACCTGATCAACTTACATTTCAACAAGGTGCTGCAATACCTGAAGTGTGGTTTACGGCATATCAAGCTTTACATTTACTCGCTCAAATCAAAGAAGGCCAAGAAATTTTGATTCACGCTGGTGCCAGTGGTGTTGGATTAGCAATTGTTCAACTGGCCAAAATGGCCAAAGCGTAAATAAAATTATTCTTTATTGAAGAACTTTGTAATATAACATTGTGTGATTATAATATTTATTTAATTTAATTTAATTTAATTTTTTTTTTTTAAGTCGCAGAATCTTTGCAACTGTAGGATCAGATGTTAAAATAAAATATGTAGAAGAAATTGGTGCAACAAAATGTATCAATTATAAGACGGAAGATTTTAAAGAAAAGGTTCGATAAGAATAAATTTAATTTTTAATTTTCGAACATCTTAGACTTATTATTTCTTGCAAAGATTTTAGAGTTCACAAATGGTCGAGGCGTTGATATAATTATTGACTTTGTGGGAAAAGATTATTGGCATAAGAACATTGATTGCTTGGTTATTGATGGTAGAATGATATTACTCGCCTTTTTATCAAGTAATTTAATTCAATAAATTTTATTTAACATCTTTATTAAGTCTCTATTATTACCTAACATTACTTTAATATATTCTTTCTTAAGGTTCCAATGTAGATAACGTTGATCTATCTGTGTTTCTTCGTAAACGAATTCGGGTGAGCGCACTAACGAAACAATCATTTATTGGAATAGTAGTATCAGCAATATTATAAGATAACTTTTGAGAATTTTTTTAGGTTGAAGGATCCACGTTACGCTCTCGATCATTGGATTATCAAATTAACCTTCGTAATGAATTCTACATTAAAATATTCCCGCATTTCTTTGATAATGAATCCTCTTTGAAAGTTGTTATTGATAGAGAATTCGACTGGACAAATATTGCCGATTCGCATCGACATTTAGAATCCAATACAACTATTGGGAAAGTTATAGTTAACATTAACGGTTAATTTCAAAAATTTACTCCTTTATCAGTTTAATAATTTAAGTTTAGAAATTAGATCAAAATCTTATTATTTAAACATTCTCTTCAGAGAGGAATACAATTTTTTTTTATTGTAATATTTTATAAAATTATTATGTATGTCAAAATAATTTCCAGAGAATTATACACAGATTTTTTTTTTCTTTAAATAAAATAATATATAAATAATTATAATAAATATAATATGTATTTAATCAAAAATATTGTCCGTTGGTTTTAACAATTCCCGTAGCAGATCACTTATGATTGGTAATCTGTCGGTTGATGTGGATGATGTGGTTGACGTGGTTGAAGACTCATTATCGTTAGAGTCGTTCGTATCTATCATCTCTTTACCTTTTCTTCTCCGGAGACCGTCATGATTTTGATTTGAATTATTAGAATCTTGTAACGTTATCCCTCTTTTTCGATCAATTGCCTCAACCGTTCGTTTAAATTGATGAAAAAGAGTTTCTGCACGTAACAATGTTTCATCAACGGGTATCGTCATAGATAAATCATTTATATACTAATAATTTTTTTTTATAAATAATGATTATAGAATACATAAATAAAAAAAAATAAGGTTTAATATTAATCCATCCATGATAATAATAAAAAATACCTTCAAAATTTCATCGAATTGACATAAATTTTCGATAATCACTCGTCGATGTTTATTCAAAATAGCCAAAGCTACAAATAAGTGGAATTGTGTACATAAATAGTTTGACCATAGAACCTCCCATAAATGTAGCACTTCGTCAAATTTGAATTCTCTTTTAAACCATATTAGAATCCATCGAAAACAAAAGAACAAGTTTAATGATTCGGTTTTCTCTAAAATAATGTTTATTAATACTAATTCCACTCAAAATTAATCTCAAAATATATTATATATATATTTACTCACGAAGATGTTTATATAAGGGAGGATCCATAAATTGAATCAAATGGTCAAGTGTCAAAAGTTGATGTCTCATACCAGTTTGATCGCGGTAAAAATTATATTTCTTTAAATTAAATTAAAATATCAACTTAATTATTTATTTTTAAGAAAGTAATAAAGTAATAATTCATATAACAAGAAAAAAATTTTTTTTTATACCATTCGATCCATGAATCCGGAAAATGCCCAAAATGTTGAAACTTCATCCCTCATTACAACAAACGCGGGGGCAAGTAAATCACTCATTCCCTGAACATATCCTGCGAACAAAAGAATATTTTATGAATAGGAATATAAAATTTTCAAAGATTTCAAATTTCCATCTGCACACTAAAAAGAAAGTATACCAAACCTAAATCTTTATTATAGAAATTATAAGTCATCAAAATATCTTTCATTAATTCTAAATTTTTGTTGGTGAGTGTTGATGATGCTGAAGATAATGGGTCAGGGTGTGGCATGTCTTCTATAGCAAAAAATTCCATACTTCGATCAGTCCGAATAACGTCTTTTTCTAAATAATTTTTTTTAAATACTTTTGTATGTTGCATTTTATCGAAACGATATAAATAAACATGATAAAGTAATATGAACCTATCCGAATCTTTTGTTCTTTAAATTCATCAGTATTTTGTACTTCAACTGAATCAAACCATTCTCGTTTAAAAGACCAATATTGTTGCCTATTTAATAACGATTAAAAGAACATGATAATATTATAACACAAAAAAAAAAAAGGGACAAAAAATTAATATTAGATTAAAGATTTATGCTTTTATCGAAAATTATTAGATTAAGGTTCATGCTTTCAAAAAATTTTGAAGGCATACTTAATAAAAATATAAATAAGAACATAAATAAGAACATAATAAGAACACATACGCTTTTGATTCATATAAATTGTCTCTCTCTATTTGACTAGAATCCCACGGATAAATTCCTAAGAAAAATTTCCATACTTCGATACGAATATCATTTTCGATTCCCTATTGATATATCCATCAATTATTGCAATAATTTCGGCTAGAATAAGAGTTATAAACTTACTCCACGAAATACTGCTTCTTGTACTTCGATTTTTTCTACTTTAAGTCTTCCTTCCACATCAAAGAACGAAAACCATTTTTCTGCATTAAGAGGATCTGAACGTGTAGCACGCAACGGGGCCAATTTTGTTTCATCCTATGAGAAACCAGTATGATAATGTATAAATAATTTGATTATAGAAAGGAATCACATGAATACGTTAAATTTTCAGGAAAATACGTACTTCCAAAAATTCAAAAGCTCCCACTTCTGTCTCTTCCTCCCATGGTTTGAATCCACTTTCAGACCAATCATTTTCGGACGCACGGTCTATTTGAAATGCCCATTTAGCTAAGTAAACTCTCCCCGCGTCATACTCGTCCACCACAGAACGAGCAGGTTCGGACTGTATGAGGTTGTTTATTGCAGGTGGAAGGATTGGGAGAATAGGACGCGCCAAGGGATGTTCCAGGATAGAAGCTACAATAAAAGAACTATATATTTTTATTGAATTTAAATATGAACAAGAAAATTTGTTCAGTTTCGTACCTGCGGTGTCTCGAGAAAGACGAGCAACTTTGGAAAACCCTTCTAAAACGTTCCAACGTATTTCTTTTACAGTCTAATGAAAAAGGATTTATTAGACAAATTAAAATATACGAGTATATAACAGAATAAATACCTCGTGAAGAGGATCCATTGAGTTGTAATGCTCTTCGTTTTTTTGTTGATTTATTTGATACTTCGAATCGAATTTAAAATGATCAGCTGTATATGCAAAATGTAGAAATGAATAAAAAAAATTATTTCACGGAGTATCGACGTGTTTTCTCGAATTTATTTAAAGATCTTAGTTCTTTCTCAGAATGATTTCCTTATCCTTGCCCGGTTAGCTCAGTTGGTAGAGCGTGAGGCTTTTAACCTTAAGGTCGTGGGTTCGAGCCCCACACCGGGCGATAAAATTTTTAATAAACACTATTATGACAAAGAACATGTTTTTAGATATCCTACAATCGTCATTAAAATTATACTACAACTAACACAGTAAAACGAACGTAATAAATCTAAAGTTTTCTTTATTTTTGCGTGTAAAAATAATATCAAATCAAACATTATCTTTTAATTATATTTGTAATGACAATTACATTTTAAGTTTACTCAACGGTCCTACACGAACTTTATTAGCTTCTAATTTTTTTATCTTTTTTTCTTCAGCTTTCTTTCGCTTTAATGTATCTTTCCAATTTTTGCCCGCACCTTCCATTATCTTTGTCATTAAATTTGCTGCTTGACCTTTGTTCAATGATTTTATAGTCTCATTATCCATCATCGGTGCTTTCTTTTTCAAGTATTTTGTTTGTCCAGCTCCTATTGGTCGCTTTCTCCAAGGGGCATCTCGTAAAGCTAATCTCTCGACATATTTTTCTTGCCGTGATACCCACTGATCACAAGCACGTATCACAGATGTCAGTGAATCATGTTTAATCGGTAATTCCCTGAGATAAAAACTGACTCCCGGTCTTTTACTTTTAGTCGTTTTAATTACTTTCTTGCGTAATGTGACACGATATATTCCTTAATAATTTTGATGATAAAATAATAAAATTACTTTTAGTTGACAATTCCCTCGTAATCTTAAAGCAAGAGTATCATAAAATCGTATTGTTGAAAAATTCATATAAATTTACATGACATACCATCATCATCTTTTTCCATTCGTAAAGTGCCATAAGTTGGTAACGATAAAGCATAGGAATCCATTCCTAACCTGATCCATGCCAGATCGGATACGCAATTCATGTATGTAGCACCTGAACAATCTTCAATAATCTCAAAAGGGTTACTATATTCTGTAATTTTAACTTTTACTTTTTCTTCAGGTAATTCATATGAATCATATAGAGATTTAGCAACTAGACTTGTCTGTTCGGACATATCTGCCTCGGGTGTCAGATCAGTAATAGATGTTAGTCCGTCCATGGTTGGAATATTTGCCACAGGCATCAGATCATTAACAGATGCCATGGAATCCATGATTAGATGTTCAGATAAATCTTCATCTTGATTTATTCCAATTTTTTCATCTATAATAAAGAACATTTATATTTGAACAAACAATATCCCTTAAAAATTTCCTTAAAAAATTAGTGTCAAGTTATATCAATAAAATAAAATTAATTATATTAACCTTTCATTTCAGCGTCAGGGTCAAACCCCAATAAAGACGGAACGGTAGCTAAATCAGGAAATTTGGTATAAGAATCAATAAAATCTAATACAAGACAATCTTCTTTCCCTTTTGAAAGACGCATTCCACGTCCAATCATTTGCTGAAAGAGCACTGGTGATTTAGTTGGACGGCTCATTACAACACAATCAATACTAGGAATGTCTGTTCCTTCCGTTAAAATACCTATTAAATAAATAAATAAATAAATTTAATAAATTGACAAAATCTCGTAAATTGAAACATTTTATCACAAAAAAATTCAAAAAATTATTCAATAATTCGCACCACAATTAATTAAAACAGGAAATTGATGTGCCTTAAAATCATTCAATATTTCTGTACGAATATGAGTTTTTGTTTTACTTGTTATGGCGTGAGCCTCGATACCAAACTTTTGAAACGTATCCTTGAGTGCTTCTACATGTTCAATATCCGCTCCAAATACAAGTGTCGATTTTCTGTTTTCTAATATTATTTTTTAAGAACTTATTAAAATTGATATTTTCTTTATGATGCTCCTATTGTTTCTATGTATGGTTTATAAAGCTTTAAAAGATTCACCTGCTAACGCTAGATATGTACGCACAATCATCTCATTACGCATTTTAACATTAAGAAATTTGGAAAGATCTTTTATAACAAAATCTTTATTATGAGATTTGACATCGGACAAATCAATATCTGTTTTGATAGTTGTTACTCGAAGATTACATAGCCTAATCAAGGATAATTCAAAAAAAAAAAAATTAATAATAAAATCGCGTATTTTTCTTAAAAAAAAAAAATTATTATCATGACTTTTAATAAAAATTTGACCATTTTTCCTTTATCATTTCCAAAAAATCTTTGTGATAAGTTATTTCATCAAAAATTCCTTCTAATGCTAATCCATCATATCTTCGAACTGTCGCAGAACAACCCCAAACAAGAATATGTGTATCTTTTTGGTTTGCACCAAAATGTTCCAAGACTCTACGATAAGTTGTCGCCGGAGCGTGATGTGCCTATTTCCCAAAAATAATAATTAATATAATTAATTAATATAATAATAATGAATTTTAGATATGTTTCACCTCATCAATGATAATGGCTTTGAAATTTTTTGGATTATATTTATCGATTCGACCTGTATCTAATCTTCCTAGTGACTGTACGCTTGCAACAATAACGTCTGCATTCCCTGTTGCCGATCTAAGACCTTGATCTATTTCTAATGTCTATCATATCGAGAAGAATAATGGGTAATAATTGTAACAATGAGTAATAATGTGTAATAATGAGTAATAATGAGTAATAGTAAGTAATAATGAGTAATAGTAAGTAATAATGAGTAATAGTAAGTAATAATGAGTAATAACGAGTACTAACATATTATATTAAAAATCGAACATAAATTATAAAATAATTACCAAATCAGACGAAACCCTTTTTATTTGATTATACGCCTGATCAATAAGTTCTTCTCTATGAGCAAGAACAAGAACTTTATCAGCACCTAAATGTGGAGGAGGAATTCTCCGGATTAAATTGGAAAATATAACCTAGAATTTAATAAAAATTTCATATTTAAAAATATCAATTTTTTTAATTTTTAATTTGAAATGACCACGATTTATTTCTTAATTTTACAATTTTACTTACCGTTTTTCCGCTTCCTATATGTAATAATCATCAAAGGTGATAGTAAACAAAGATTATTTGGTTTGGGAATTTTTAAGAAAATTATTTGTGGATCAGATCATACCTACAGGTAAAGATACGATTTGACGATTTACTTTTTCATTAAGAAATTTGTGCAAGCAAATGTCTATGCATTCTTTTTGGTAAGGACGTAAAGGAACAGCTGTTCTATAAACTTTTATTCCTCGTCTCAAAATGTAGCTTTTTGTATAGTATCCTGTCCAGTAATTCAAAAATTGATTTTTGAAAATTTTGCAACTAAACAAAGACGCGTCTTTCGAATTCTGTAAAATAAACGATGCTGTCGTGTATCTCATTATATGAAATCATGTAATGAAAAACTATAATTATATTATGCAAACTACGTGAATTCATGAATATAATTGAATGAATGAGTGTGAAATTTAACTATAAAAACAAAAAGAGACTAAACGGTGTTTACCAGTAGGAATAGATAATAAACAATAGTCGCGTAGGTGTTTGATAAGTTTACATCATATTTATTCACGTGAATACAATTTAATGGTCACCCAAAATGTCAAAACAAAAAGGGGAATCTTAACCTAAACCCGGGTCTAGGATAATATCCTAAACCGGGGGTATAGGTTAAGGATCCTCAAACAAAAAAAATGGTCTGTGCGAAATCACGAGGAAACATGATCATATAACTACTTTGATCCTAAAATTCAAGTTTCTATTTTAAAATGTTTGGTTGTATTGTAGCGGGAAGATTGGTTAGTAGTACGCATAGTTTTAAAAAAATTTTTGGATCAAATAATTTCAAAATTCTATTAAATTATAAAGTATTAAAAAATGGTGTGAAAGAATATTTAATATGGTGGTGTTTTAGATAAGATATTTCCTTTTCGATTTTTTTTTTATTAACCAGGCTTATTATAATAGATTCAAACTAACCTTCAACAAGTCGACGTCAATAAATATATCTTTGAAATTCCAGAAGCTATAACTATAAATCATATAGTAGTTTTTTTGCTTGGTACAATTCCTTTTGAACCGGGTTATGCGGCTTCAGTACATTTTCTGTGGCCTGGAGGAGAACAAGGGTGGAAATTGTTAGGAATGTATGTATCATTCATATTCATGTGAATATTATCTTCAAAACCTTAATAGATTATATTATTATAAATAAATTTTAGGCTTTCCAACGAAAAACCTAGTGCGATTTTCCGACTTCGTGGAAATGTAATTCCTGGAACAATTTCAAATATTTCAAATACTTCAAATACTTTGAATTCATTTTCATCAAAGTTATTAAATTATAATGGTGATGAAATGTCTATGGATGTTGGATCTACACCGTCTACATCTACTTCTGTGACGGCAACATTGGGAATTTCCATTGAACCAATTTCAGTGGTTGAATCTCAAATGTCGATGCTTTCTAATCAAAATGCAACTATGTCACAATTTAGTGGTGTTAATCCAGAAACCATTGCATTTAATATACTTAAAAATCTTTATAATTATGTAACATCATTCGCACAGGCCACAACTCCATTTGGATCACATGTCATTGGGTCAGGTAATTCATTTATATCTGTAAAAGTTTTCCAGGACTGGTATGATTTATTTTCGCGTAAAATCAAAATGGATCCAAATATAGTTCTGAAGAGAGATTAAATAGTAAAACGAAAGAATATAAGAAGAATATAAGGGTAAAGTACCAAAAAATGATTGACGTAATTTATCACCTAGGGAATATCCGTGGCAATTTTTCACAAAAGTGTAATTTATTTATTTATTTATTTATTTATTTAATTTATTATTTTTTATGTACAAATTATTTCTTTATTTATATGAAACAAATACTAACAAAGTAATAATAACTGATTATTAGCTTACTTGGATTGATTGATTGATTGATTGTTCACAATTTTAACAATTTTATTTATTGCATGATTTCTTTCTTGCAACAACATACCAATTATCTTTGTCATAATCAGTCTTGATTATTTGTGCTTTTCCGGTATTTAAAATAAGATTGTCTAATTCACCTTTTTTAAACAAGTGATAATACCTAAACAATTATACAAATAATGCAAATGAAGTAACCAAACCAATGAAATAAATAATTAAAAAGATAATAAAATAAAATAGATTACCTCTGATAAATAGCCTCTTCTTTTCTATCCGGATCATTTTTGGATGCAGGAATAACCCACGGAACTATTACATCTTGATGTTCCTTATCAAATTTACGACGTGCATCTTGTTCTAAAGCCCAAACATATATAAGTACAAGTGAACCCGGTTTTACGATTCGAAAAAGTTCCTTAAGACATTAAAGAATTAATAATAATCAAGTTAAAAATATAATAATAATAATTTACACATATATACAGTTTTACACACCTCAATTGCAGCAATTCTTCTTTCTGGTGTTGTAAAATGATGAATTACGGCAATAGAAATAATAAAATCCTATTTGATTGTTATAGATGATTTTATTTTATTTTGATGTTTGATATAATAATGTTTACACAAGTTTATAATTGTTATTATTGTTATTATTGTTATAATGTTTAAATAACATTCATCATCATTTATCAATCATTTATCATCATTTATCATCAAAGGATACGAAACATTCATTTCGAAATGGCAAATTTAAAGCATCACAAACGATACTTTCAAATTTTCTGGATACACAAATATCAATTAATTTGGAGCTCCTTTATTTATGGAGTAAAATGAAAATTATTAAAATTCTAAATTTTAAAGTTAAAATTATTTACAATAAATAAAAAAAATAATTACCGATCTGACCCAATCATAAACACATTCTTATTAACATCTAAATATTTACCATTCCCACATCCTATATCAGCTCCTAAACTTCCTACGTCCAATTCTTTAAGAAATAACTCAACTAAAGGCCAAGGCTTTACCATAAATTGAAAATTATTAAAATAGAAACATTTCGAAAATAAAAATATTATATCTTTTTGGGCAAACCTTATATCTCGTTTGACTAAAATGTGGTGCGATGGCTTGATAAACTTCATGAACATATTGTTGTTCTTTTACAACATCAGAAATTTGTTCAGTATCAATAACAACTTTATTTGACATAATTATATCTGTTTTCTAAAAGGTATTTTTGTAATGATAATCCATCCATTCTTTCGCTGATCACTTCCCATTTCGATAATAACTCGTATATTTATTAAGCAAAATTTTTGGCAATCATTATTGATGAGATTTGGACATGTATAATTCGGAAAATTTAATAATTTCGGCCAAATTTAATAAATTTATTAATTTTTATTTGGTTTTGTTAAGTTTTATTTGAACTTTCATATTCGTTTTTGTTTTTTTTTTTTTAGTAAAAAAGCACCAATTTATTGTATGTATGCTGTAATGAAGTTCTGAGATAAGGTTCCAGCTGAAAATAATTATATTTTTAATTTTTAAATAACATGGAAACTAAGGAAAATGATTTACTATCTACTATGATTAATTAGTCCAAAAATTTATTATTATTTTTGATCATGTGATTCTGATCTTCACATGGATTATGAATTAATGTTCTTTTATTTTATACCAATTAATGAATTTAGTATCTTTACATTGTTAAATGAAAGAAACGAGATGGAATGCAGATGCAAACCTTTTTATTATCAGCTCATGATCTAATGAATATATATCAACTTTACGGAAGAATGTCTAAAAGTGCCAACAAATCCTATAAGCTTTATATTTTATAAAAATAATTGTGTATTTATTACTATTTTTATTTTTCTTTATTAATAACAATAAATAATAAAATATATATATGAGTTTATACATAGTGAATATATAATAAAAACACTTGATTTTCAATTAACTGTTCATTTATAAATCATTATAAAAGAAAAGTTAATTTATGATTTTCAGTTTACAGTTTATATAAATTACAAATTATAAATAGTTAAATTTTTGAAATATTAAAACAATAATAATCATTGATCTTTATTGATTTTACTGGTCAAATAAAGAGAAACAGACAAAATTTTTAGCTCAAATAAATAGATTTGTAAATAATTTATAAATAGACAAATGATTTGCAAATATATAAGAAGATTTGTAAAAAATTTTGTTGATTTTGATTACTCAATATATGCTATTACAGTGATTCACAAAAGTATTACAACACCTGTTTTTTTGTTTTTAAAAAATTTTAATACTTGAATAATGAATTTTAGAACAATAGTTATTAAACAAATTTTAATATTTAAAATTTGAAAAGATTTTTTTAAAATATTTTTACTGCTCAATATTGAGAATTGTCATTTAATAAAATTTCAATTGTGAATAAAATTTTATATAAAATAATTACAGCTAAAATAATTATAAAGTTAATTGTCCTTCCTGAGAAGAATAAACATATCAAATTTCATATCAATTGGATTAGTAGTTATCAAGAAATTAATTCTTGAAAATTGAAATTTTACTAATAAAAATTTTTTCAATTATTTTATTAATAAATTTCAATTTTCAAGAATTAATTTCTTGATAACTACTAATCCAATTGATATGAAATTTGATATGTTTATTCTTCTCAAGAAGGACTATCAACCTTAGAATTATCTTGACTATAATTATTTTACATGAAATTTTATTTACAATTGAAATTTTATTAAGTAACAATTTACTATATAAATTGCAAAATTGAGATTATTAATTTGATATCAAAAATATTTTAAAAAATTCTTCAAAATTTAAAGATTAAAATGAGCTTAATAATTATTATTTTAAAATCGATTATTCAGGTTGTATAATTTTTTAAAAACAAAAAAAAGATATTGCAGTATTTTTATAAGTCATGTATATAATATAATACAAGTTTATTATATATATTTTATAAAATATTTAATAATTTTATCAAAGGTGAATTATATTTTTAATCATTTCTAGTTTTATAAAATTGTATACTTCTACTAATTAAATCAGTATCACTTGAAAATATTCTTTCAACTGGAATATTTGTTCTTGTTTAAAATAAAATAAATTTAAAAAAATAATTTATAATAAATTAATTTAATATTAAATATTAACACATTGGAAATTTGGGGGTTTTGGAACAAAACCGCCAATATTGGCAATAGTGTGTCACGCCTGCTAGAAGCTCAAATCCGTAACCGATTTAGGTTAGACTTGTAAAAAACGTTTTTGACCACACTCGAATGAGGTGTAATTTATATTTTAGACCACATTTTCGATATAATTTGGTTAGATTTATTTTATGCTACTCCGCTTACTGTTAAAAAAACAAAGAGAAGCGGTGGAGGATATGAATGTAATGAATATCCCTAATCCCTTCTCTGACGTGTAGCAAGCTAAATTGCATATTATTTTACTAAATCTAACCTTTTGATATCATAAGTCTAAC